TGTCTTTTTAAAAAAGTATTGGATTGAGAGTCAAGTTAAAATTATTTTTGCCTACATGACAACAGTACCTATTCTTAAAATTTTATGAAATCGCTTTATGTTGATAAAAATATATTATGTTCTTTTATCTAGTATTTGTTGTTGTTGTTATGTGCTATTGAGTCACCTACAACTCATAGCAACCCTATGTACAACAGCCCTAAATCCTGCTGTATCCCTTGCCAATTTTATTGTTTCTGACACACCTATCCCCATTATCCCAGTGACTAAATCAATCCAGCTCATCAAAGGTCTTCCTCTCTTGTGCTGTCCCTCCACCCTCCCAAGCATGACATCCCTCTTCAAGGACTGATCTTGCATTGCGACATGTCCAAGATTCTGAAGAAGCTTCAGAATCTCTGCCTCCAAGCAACAGTCTATCTTCACCCTCTCCAAGATGAACCTGCACCACAGTTCAAAGGCATCAATTCTCCTTCTATCATCCCTAGTCATTATTCAGCTCTCTGATGCATAGCTAGTAATTGCAAAGATAATGGCTTGTATGAGGTGCACCTTAGTTTCCTGACCAACAATGTTGCTCTTCAGTACTTTGGAGAGGTCTCTGAGAGCAAACTTTTCCAATGCAATTCATATTTTAATTTCCTGGCTGCTAATAACAAGAGTGTTGATTGTAGAGCCAAGCAAACTGAATCTGTGAACAATCTCAAAGTCTTCATCATCTATTATGATGCTGCCAATCTTAAGGATGCTTTAGGCAGAATATTGAATAATCTAGGGAGCATTAAAATAAAATGGAAAGAGTATACAGAGTCATTGTACCAAAAGAAATTGGTGAACACAGAAGAATTTCATCAAATAATGTATGAGCAAGAGCCTGTGGTGATGAAGGAAGAAGTTCAAGCTGCTCTGAAAGAATTAGGAAAAAACAAGGCCCCAGAAATTGATGGCATACCAACAGACATATTTCAACAAATAGATGCTGCCCTGGATGTGCTCACCAAGTTGTGCCAAGAAATCTAGAGGGCAACCACCTGGCCAACTGACTAGAAGAGATTTCTATTTGTTCCCATTCCAAAGAAAGGTGATCCTACAGAGTGTGGAAATTATTGAACAGTATCACTGATATCACATGCAACCAAGATTCTGCTTCAGACTATCCAAAAACAACTGGAGTAGTACATCAACAGAGAACTGCCTGAAGTGCAGGCTGGATTTAGAAGAGGGTGTGGCACTAAGGATATTATAGTTAATGTCGTATGGATCTTGGCTGAAAGCAGAGAGTACCAGAGGAATTCCTATCTATGTTTCATTGACTGCAAAGGCATTGGACTGTGTGGATCACAACAAACTGTGGCTGACTCTGAGAAGAATGGGAATCCCAGAACACTTGATTGTGCTTATGTGAAATCTATACTTGGACCAGGAGACAGCCATCAGAACAGAGCAAGGGAACACTGCATGGTTCAACATTGGGAAGAGTGTGCTTCAAGGATTTCTCCTATCTCTATATCTTTTCAATATATATGTGGAACAGATTATCTAGGATGCTGGGCTCTATGAGGACAAGTGTGGCATCAGGACTGGAGGTAGACTCATCAACAATCTGCGTTATGCAGATGACACAACCCTGCTTGCTGAAATTGAGGAGGACCTGAAGTGCATGCTGCAGTAGGTCAAAGACTGCAACCTTCAATATGGATTAAAGCTCAATATCAAGAAAATAAAGAATCTAATATTTACTTGTAAATTAAATACAATACTTTAAGCATTCTATTTATGAAGGTCATGAAATTATTATTTAATTAGTAATAACCTTGAAATTGTATGCTTCTGTTATATGGGTAAACTAGAAGACCTTAAGAAAAAAAAATGATCATGTATTTTGAAGTATTTATTTAACATATTCAAAGCTAAGCCTTTTTTAAGAAATGAGAAGAAATTGATTCTTTAAGGAAATTCTGGGTAAGTATAAAGGTAGAACTAAATGAACGACCAGAAATACTACCAGGGTATAGAAGAGATCATGGCACTAGAGACATTATCACCAATGTCAGATGGATCTTGACAGAAAGCAGAGTACCTGAGGAACGTCTATCCGTGTTAAATTGACTAAGCAAAGGCAATTGACTGTGTGGATCACAACAAATTGCAACTAACATCGAGGAAAATGAGAATCCCAGAACACTTGATTGTGCTTATGTGAAACCTATACTTAGACCAGGGAAGCAGTCCTCAGAACAGAGCAGGGAAACACTGCATGATTTAAAATCAGGAAAGGAGTGTGTCAGGGATGCATCCTGTCTCTGTAATTTTTCTATCTATATGCAGAACAGATCATTTGGGAAGCAGAGACTTTTGAGGAGGTATTTGACATCAGGATTGGAGGTAGACTCCTTAAAAATCTATGTTATGCAAATGACACAACCTTGCTTGCTGAAACTGAAGAAGACCTGAAGTGCTTGCTGTAGAACGTTAAGCACTATAGTCTTCAATACGGATTGAAGCTCAACATCAAGAAGACAAAGATTCTCAACACTGAGACAATTGACAGCACCATGAGAAATGGAGAAGAGATTGAGGTTGTTAACAATTACAGCTTACTTTGCTCCATAAACAACACTATTAACACCAGCGATAAGAAAATCAAAAGATGAATTGCCTTGGGAAAATCTGTTGTCAGAGAACTTTTTCAGAATACTGAAAAGTAACAATGTCAGTCCACAGACATAAGGTGTGCCTGATCAAGACCATAGTCTTTGCAATTATTTGCTATGCATCAGGGATCTGGACAATGAATAGGGATGATAGAAAAAGAATTGATGCTTTGAGCTGTGGTGCTGGAAAAGAGTCTAGAACATATCATGGACTGCCAAGAAAACAAATAGGTCTGTCTTGGAGAGGATAAAAGCAAGTTTCTCCTTGGAGGCTAGGATTTTGAAGCTCTGCCTCTCATATTTTGGGCACATTGCCAGGAGAGACCGCTTCTTGGAGAAGGACATCATGCCCATAAGGGTGGAGGGACAGCACAGGAGAGGAAGACCCCAGATGAGATGGATTGATACAAAACCTGGGGCAATGTATATTGATGTGTCAGAAGTAGTATGACTCAGGACAGGGCAGGTTTCAGAGCTACTGTACATAGGGTCACTATGGGTTATAGGCTGCATGCGACTTGATAGTACATAAAAACAACAACAAATGAATATACTGACTACATAATTAAATTTTTAGACATTTTTTGTTTAAATACAAAGACAACTCTGGCTGTGTCACCAGATTATATGAATAATTAGCCAAATTATTTCTTTCCCCCTTATTTAATGCTTATTTCACAGACTATTTTCTTATTTAATTAGCTAAGAAATATCTTTAACATTAAAGAAATATCTTTAACAATTATAATGTGACACACAAATTATACACACACACACACACATATCCCATGAACTCTTGCTTCATTGTATGAAACTAAGATACCTAATATACTTAATGTAAATGCATAAGTATTTTTATTCACTACAGTAAATGTAATAATGATTAAGTGCTTATTTAAACAATAAGTTTTGAGAATAAGAAAGAATACAAAGTTAAACATTACTATCATTTCCACTAGAAGATTTCTGGGGGAAAAAAAAAAGAAACTGCAAAGTCCCTGCTCTCAAAATCTTCTTCCACTTTAAAATATCTTAGAGTAAGCCTCCTCCCTTAGTCTTCTTATTTAAAGAAAAGAAAACAAACACAGCTTATCTTCTTCAGTAATGTTGGAAATGCTATCTGTTTTTGTCTCATCTTATCAGTATGTCTCCTCATCATAGGACCTAAAGCTGAGAGAAATTTAGAGAGGGCACCACCATGTCCTGACTACTCCTTTATCGCATTCCTTCCCCCTCATTCTTTGGTGAATGGCTCTTCTTAGAAAATGTTCTCCCTTTTATGCCCTTTCCTAATTATAATTACTGCTTTTTCTCCTTTTGAATAATATTTCCTTTTACCACTTTCTTCAACACTTTTTTCAGGGTATGTTTTTAATGTTTCCATAAGTTATTTGAGGTGTATAGGTTAAAACACGGATTTTATATAGTTAAGCTTAAGTTTATGTAACATCTTTCTTTTATTCACCCTAAGAGAATTTACATGAAGTAAGCTAACTATTGTTGCTGTTATTGATTGCTTTCAAATCGTGCAAAACTAATAGCGACTCTGTGAAAAAAAATCCTGAAGCCCCTCTACAACCATTGACATTTAACAAAGTTCATAGAAATTCCAGGGGCGGGTTGTTTAGGAAGTAGATGCCACATATGGAAGAATTTCTAGGAAATAACTGGAATAAAAAAGAAAAATTGAAGAAAATTACGTGAACTTGATGAAATTGTCTCAATATTAATTAATTGCCATCAAGTTAGACTGACTCATAGCAGAGCCTCCAGTGGATTTTAGAAGTATCACACATGAGGTATTACACACAAGGAGACTGCCCGTCTTTTCCCCAAGGAGCAGCTGGTATATTCAAACCTCTTGCCTCTGGGTTGGCAGTGCTACTCCTTACCCACTTGTTGTGTGTACTGTAGAGCTGGAACTAAGCCATGTCTGATTCTCCAGTAGGTTTTCAGAGACAGTTCATTGTATGGGAGGACATTGTCCATCCTTCTCCTGCGGCGCAGCTGGTGGCCTTGAACCGCATGCCTTTGAGACTGCAGCACAGCTTCTTGCCACTAGGCCATCAGAATTAGTCTATGCTTAATAGCCTTTAAGTGGTGAATGTGAATATCATATTATAGAAAATTATTTTAATGTACATATTAGATCATGGAAAATTATTTTAATTTTCACATGACCACAGATTAATACTAATCCTAAAATACTATGACGTTTGACTTCAAATGCAATTATTGAAGGAAATATAAGTTAGAGACATACTATTCAAAATGAATGCTTTTTATACTTTATACATACAGACATTTGTCTAGAATTCTCATATTTCTGCCTTTTCATATTTTCAGGACGGAACCAAAGTTTACGGCAGATGTGGAGGGCTCTGTGGAAAATGTATTCCTCATGTGAGTACTGGTCTTCCAATTCAAGTATTATGAAAATTCAGCAATCATAAATCTCTGGAACAAGCAGATAACTGGTGCTTTTACTTCTTCATTTCTTCTCTGAGATTTATGTGTCCAAAATGGCTCTGCCTGTTTTTTCAGGGTGCTCACTAGGGATTCCAATCAATGTTGATTTTTTTTGCAAGGTTTTAATAATAAACTGATGTATGATTCCAATCTAGACTTCTTACAGAGGACATCAGAATTTATGGTAGAGAATACAGAGGTGCCTGAATGAGTTATACCAAGTTCATATTGCTGTTAACAACTTGTACTGGACCATAATTATATGATGACTAAAACCAAACCTGATAATCTCTGTTTAGTGTTCCACTGTACAACAAAACATCTTAGGTGCTTCATGTTAAAGTTGAGAAAGTATAAATTTGCAAAATAAATTATTCAACATTACCATATTTATTATTGAATCTTTCAGGTGAATAACAAATTCACATTTAACAAGTACATAGTCATTTTACTTTTCTACTGATACAGTTTAGATGCTCTTGTTTAATTTTTCTTTATTTTTTTACTGTGGATTATGGTGCTTTAATTAAAACAATAGTAATGAAAACTGTGGTGCAAATTTTACATTAAAACCTCATGTTTGTTTAAATAAAAAAATATGATCTTTTGGGGCTATAATCCAGGAAAAAATGTTATATTGAAATTTGCTTTTTAAAACCTACCTCTAATTTGATTGTACTTATTTTACAAATAATGCTTTATTTTTTATAATATTTATATTCTATAATGCCGTTATAACTCTTGTATGTGTATATGCCTATTCTTATATTTTATTTTCTCAAAGTTATATACTACATCTTATTAATCAAATGATAAGTGAAAATTTTTTGGAATTATGAAGTTCTTGTATCAGTAAACATGAAATTATGTTTATATATGCAAAACTTTTAATAGAGTTGTTAAAGTTATTTTATATATGAGGTTTCTCATATATAGACTTTAAGAAAACAGTATAAAATTGACTAGGGAAATTTCTATGGTATTAAGAGTTTTTTTAAGGTGAATAATTTAATCGTGTATTGTGTAATAATGTAATTTTTAAGATAAAAAATATTATTTTTCTATAGCAACTGTCTATGTAAACCAAAAAAACAAAGAATTCAATCTACTAAGATTTTTCCCCCAGCAAATAGTAGTGTATTAGTTTCACTCACAGAAATATTTCCCCCACATATTTCTTAGAGATTTATTGTACTTATAAGTTAGTAAAGCAATTTTGTGCCGATATGGTTGAGCATTTGGCGGTCTCTGTATCAGAAATGAAGTATTTTGCACTATGTGCCTTAAACCAATTGTAAACATGAGTATGAAATGAATGTTTTAAAAATGTTTTTTGTTAGTAATGAAATTCTTATGATTTATAAACCTTTTAATAATAAACATATTTGTGTGATAGATGAGTATTTTGTTTTCATTTTCTTTCACAAACATTTATAAACAATATTTATAAGGTTAAAATCACTCCTGAAATTCTAAGAATATTT